GAAGGGAACATGCTAGGAAAAAGAGGCCTGATGACTTCTGATCTTCTTTAAGACAGCCCTGCAAAAATATGTTATTCGACATCTGCTCAGCAACCGATTCTGGAATTTTTCGATAGCATATCATGAAACTTTCTGCGCAGTCCCCAGGTTTCAATCATGGTTATGTGCTTAACATAATTTTTTCAAAGTGGTGGTATTGGCGTTTTCACTGAGTGGTGTCACTCGCCGTGATCGCGACTTGTAATGCCGCTGCAACCGCCGCTATGTTCTGAAACAATGCTGACTGCTGTGCATAAAAAAATAAAGATTACCGCTTAGACGATTAGCTAGTTCTTTGGCAAAGAGAATGTTGCATAGCTTGCTATGGTTGTACGCTCCATATGGACTGTAATCACGCTCGAACATCAGATCATGGAATCTGACACCACCTGACAGCGCATGAAGATCGGATGAAACGACAATCACCCGGCTTGGAGCCGATGACTTGAGGAGATCAAGCAGTAGATAAACCAGGTACATATGACCTAAAATGAGCTTTTCTTAATTTCGGTCTTAGGCAGTGCATTAAACAAAGCACATCAAGATATAAAATTATTACAGTGCCGAAGAATAGATTACGGTAAAATGGGTATTCTTTTTTGAGTAATTAACCGTCGCATTGCCTCATTTGTCACCTCTAATAAGTATTTCAATTTTAAAAAAATACGAATCAGGAATCCCTGTTTTAGCGACGATCGCAGAAAAGGCTGAGCACGCTAGGCGAAGAATGTTCCATCTTGGTCGATAGTAGGTGTGCAATTGATTTTATCTTGCGCGACTTTGACAGCTTTAACTCTAAAGTACGTATTCTATCGGCATCACGTGGCTAGTAATTCATATGAGGTATCGTTACGCTTTCTTAGGATGTACATGAAACAGTTCTTCACAAGTTTTTAAGAAAGTGTAATTGTTACCCAACTCAGTCCTCCATCATCAGCATAAGCGGTGAATTCGCAAACGCGATAAAAACTGTTATTAACTGAAGGCGGAGAATGACGCCACGTGGAATTCAATCTTATTGTTTCACAGGAAATTAAATTGAAATGACCGTAACTGATTGTAAAGAAAGCTTTAACATTAAATGTCTGTACCCAAATGATTGACTCCAATTGTGTATTCGAAACCATCTTCAGTCAGTTTTCTTGGTCCCAGGTAGCCTGCATTGAGGATGAGACAATGGAGGTTGCTCTCTCCTAAAAGTACAGACGATCACCGATAAAAATTACAGGAGACGAAGAGCGTGCTTTGGCGAAATTCATCAACGAATTGCCTGATGGATGACATTGAAGCAAGGTTTACACGCAGTGCATATCCTCGGGGTCCATGATGCACAGTCCAACGAATGTCGTTCAATTGCCTTTCGGCCTTCCGCACGTTTCTTGCGGCCCAGATCACTTTTGCGCCTAGAAAATGTTCGTGAAACGAGCAACAGATCAAGCACCAGACAACACCTCTACGACAGAGCTCGGAAGCGGTGCAAGCGCCGATACCAGAACTGGCCCCGGTTACAATCGCGGTTTTGTTTTCTGCTGGAAAACGAAGAGCAAGACTACAGCTTCGAAAAATTATCCATCTAAAATGCGCTTCATAAATTTGTTGCAACGTCCAACGAAGCATCAAACAAGATGCAGAAGTTTCAAAAACCAGCCAAATAATTCATAGATTTGTGCTTACTGAACCTCCGTACCCTGTAGACACATACAGATAAGTGGGATATCAATAAATCACGGCAATATATTTAAATTAACTTGATAAGCAGATGAAGAGATGGAGTTATTGAACATAATGGCGATGTCGTAGGTGGGGAATTAAGATGCTTTCACGAGTTTTGACATAAAGAACTGAAGCATACGTGTAAATAAAATTTCGAGCTGTAGGAAACGAACTCCTTTTAAAAACTACTCCATTGTCGAAAGTAGCAAATGATCACAATTTAGAGTACAATAATAAGGAAGGCGCAAAAAGGAAATTTCTTTGTAACTGAAAATTTGTCATCAAATGGGCGAAACATTTTTAAGTAGTACTTTTAATCTCTTCCCCTGCAATTTCTACATCAGAGTAAAGGCTGCCAATAAAACCATCACTGAATCA